CGTTCACATGGACAATGTTTATATGTTCCTTTGAAGTTCACCCAATGGAGATGATGGCGGCTGGTCGATGCGGCCGATGGATGCAGAGCAGCTTCGGGAGTGCGGGCACCGGATGGTGGATTTCATTGCCGACTACTATAAATCCATCGAGACATTTTCCGTCCTCAGTCAAGTCCAGGCACGATCACTCTTGACTCTTCTCCAAATCCTGCAATACGAACTTGCTATTTTTTTCAAACTTGTTTTTTTTAACCTGGGAGTTTGCTCAGATGCTGCTTCTGCAACATTATCTCCTACTTAATATGACTTGTTCGCCAATTGACCCAGCCACTAGTTTAACCCATTCTATAAATAACTCTCTGGTACTTTGATCGCCTATATACATATATAATCTAATCCAAAAAAATAAATTCTTCGGTCGTCGTAACTTCGATATGAAGCAGCTCAACATAGGATCGGTAACATTTGGTCACGGTATGATTCCCTTCCTGGATATCTTGAGAAAATATGGTTAAACTGCAGTGGCGGGGAGGACCCGTATCCGATACGCCTGATATATCACTTTTCAGAAGCATCTGTGCATCATAGCCACTATGTACAAGGACTTGGAACATCATTTTCCTTCTCTCTTTATTTTAAGGGATACAAAACTGTGCATCCGTCATGTTGTGAAATGGTGATGTTACCATTAAAGAACTAAGAAAACAGTCAAACATACTACTCGTTTGTCTACAGAAGATGGATTGTGTTAAGTACTATATTTGGCACTCTAATAAGATTTGTGCATCGACATCCATTGAACGGGTGTTTTCGTTGCAGCCAGGATATCTAAATGAACTTCTTCCAGATTCAGCTCCAAATCGACCTGACACTTTGGATGCCCTTTTTGATGGTGATCTTCCTTCTAGTGCACTTTCAAATGACATTGGAATTTACGTTTTATCAATTCCAATCCATAAACTATGCTTAACCAATCCTAAATTATATTCATAAAACTTTTCTGATGCCCAGATATACGAGAGAAGATAGTACCGGGAGTAACTCACTGGCAAAGTCCAAATTATTTTGCTTACTATCCCTCAAATAGTAGCACTGCTGGATTCCTGGGGGAGATGCTTAGTGCTGCCTTTAACATCGTTGGCTTCAGTTGGATAACCTCTCCTGCTGCAACCGAGTTAGAGGTTATAGTCTTAGACTGGTTTGCAAAAATGCTTAAGCTTCCAAGCCAGTTTCTATCATCTGGTAAGGCTGCAATCATATTTTTTAGCTTGATGCACAAACTATTTGTTGATCACAACATATATTTTTGCAATTCTGTTCTTTATATGTAGCGCCTTTTAATTAATTTGCATCTCTAGATATGATATAAATGATAAGGTTACGATTAACAAATACTATGTGGAACATCCCTTACTTATCGTGTATTTCCATTCTTTATTTATTAAGGTAACGTTTCTTGTTTCCTTCTTGACATATTGATCGTTTTGTCTAGTTTACCATTACTACGTAGAATACCGAACTACTTTTTACAGCTGCTCCAAAAAAATGTGGTCATTTCTTACTTTCTTTCAGGCTCCAATGCAAGATACTAACTATAATTTTCAATCATATTGTGCTATAAAAACATGAAACAGAAATCCAGCGACATTATTTCCACAATCAGTTATATGCTTTTTCACACAGCCATACTTTTGAATAGCTGATGGTATGCACCCTAGGACAATCTACATTATTGAGCGGTTGTAATACTTATCAAGATGTACCATTAATTTACCCGCAAAAAATGTACAATTAATTAGCAATCGCATAACTATGTAGCCAGGTTGTGCGAGATTATCAATATTGCCAAAATGATGGTCCTATGTAGGATTATTTTCATGTTCGTGGATCTTATAATCATGAATAGGATCTGACCTAAAAAAATTATGGCTCCAGAGATCGTATGGTCCGAACCATGGAACTTGAGTTATATGCTGCCAAGCTGTTATTGTCCTATATGTCGATCGGAATCGGAATAGTTTCATAGGGTTCTATGATCATGTGATACAAACTGTGATTTGGACTATCCTTGATCCGAGACATCTAATTTATAGATTCTTCTATAGTAGAATGGTACATAGAGCTGCTATCTATTGCCCTTAGCTAAAGTCATGCTTCTGAGTTTCTCTACTGCGTCCCTCTTTACAGCGGTTGGTGGAGGAGTAATCCAGGGTAGTGCCAGTGAAGCTGTCCTTGTTGTACTATTGGCTGCACGAGATAGAACCTTAGAAATGCACGGGAAAAAATCCCTTGAAAAATTAGTAGTTTATGCATCTGATCAGACACATTCTGCTCTGCAAAAGGCATGCCAGGTATGCATATGTAATACAACTCAAGTCTCACTAGAATGATTTCTAGTTATCATTTGTTATGAAATATGAATAAATTACCTGTCTTTGTCGGTTTTTTGGATTTGATGTTATTCAAAGAATGACAATGAAGCAGTTAGATAATGTGAATTATGTTCTTGTACCTTTTTTATCTGTTTTTCCTAAGATATAATTCTTCTTTTTATAGATTGCAGGAATTTTCCCAGAGAACTTCAGACTTGTGAAGGCTGACTACAGTAATAGTTACGCCGTTGCACCTGAAGCAGTTAGTGAAGCCATTTCCGTTGACTTGTCATCTGGGTTGATACCATTCTTCATCTGTGCAACAGTAAGCAATAAGCTGTGATTTCTTTGTATGCAAGCTTCTTAGGTTAATGAAAATTAAACTTGGGGAAATTTCAACATTTAAGTCTTGACATGATTTACTATACTTTAATTATATAACTTTGAGTCAATATACTGAAAGTTCAGAAAAAATCTTCTGCAAGTTCACAATTTTGATACTAGTCTGTCTTCCAACTATCTTTGTACAAAATTACGGGAGCTGCATTTATGTATTAAAAAATTTCACAGTCGTGTGTTCTCTTGAATTATTCCGTTCTTGATTCTTGTGTACTAGCGCATGGTGCAGTCTGTGTGTGCGGGGGATTTGTGTTGGGGATGGGGGCAATTTATGATCATGGAGAAATTACGTGAAAATGACCCTCAAAAGTTGTAAATTCCGTGAGAATATGGCGTATAAGTTTGAAGTAATCTCAATAATTTTTAGTTATACACTTATACTACAATGCATGTTCTACATCCATGCAAATTTCATGATTAATTCAATCCCATTTAAAAGATTAAAAATGCTTAGTACTAGTGTCATGGTACAGTCATTACATAGTTGTCTTCTCTGTGTCTTGTAAATAAGATTGAATTCAATCCTTGCATTCTGCATTGGATATAGAACATCCCCTTCCCTATTACTGTTGATTACGGTCCGTTTGGGAGCTCAGTTTTTTTGAAGTATTCTGATAATACTTTGGTTTCTAAAAATATTGAAGTATCAAATACTTTAAAGCGTTTGGATCCAATAAATACTGTGGTTTATAAACTGAAGTATTGTGCAAAACTGCAGTTTTTTTGCCATATTGAAAACTTCACTCCCGACCACTTTTTTCTATAAACTGAAGTATTGTATGAAACTGCAATATTCATTTGCCAGGCACTCCAATACTTCAGTTTTGGAATACCATAGTTTCAATATGTTAGGAATGCAACTAGTATTATCAGGAGGCCAAAGCCATCATATATACACATACATGAGGATGCCAAAAGACCACAAAAGGATGCCAAGAGACTAGAAT